ATAGCTGCTATTGTGCAGTTGCACTGTCTGTCAAGTGCCGTGAGAGTTTTCCAGCCAACATATCATTTTTATTCTAATGCGTATGCGGGCCACCAGTCATGCATTTCTCTAAAATACAGATCGTCTCACTTATTCAGCGTTCTGTCAGGGAGAGCTGCGTGGCAGAATTCAATTTACTGCTCTGCACAGGCTGCTGAAGGCAAAGAATGTCGCCTGGCTGTCGCTTATAAATATGGATTTGGCCCACACTAACTGCTATCAGAGAATTTTGGAAAGCTCCAGTTTCCCTAAAGTGCAGAAATCGTCATGTGTGTTTACTCATAGGGGGTTGTGGCACGTGAGCGGCACATTTGCTGGTCAGAGCGATTAAGAAACCCCAGTTCACTTTCACACATTTGGTCACACTCTCCCTCATGCAGAGGGCATTTTTTTCTCCCCCGTTGCACATGAGCGTTATAAAGACAACGCCAGAAACACTGAATCACTGACAGGCACGATGCCCAGAACAACTTTATGTGATAACTTCCCCCTCTATCTGCCACACGAGCCCCTCCGCTCTGGCCGCTCCGAGCAGATGGAACCGGAGACTTCCGCAGATCCGCGCCTGCTGCTTTTCTTGAGAGCATCATGGATCAGACACAACAGGTCACAAGACAATGCTGCTGCATGTTCGGACTCGTCTCAAAAGGTCAGGGCGGCGTGTCGTTGAAGAAGGGGCTGAGGAGTTGGGGGGGGGAGACGGAGGGAGTGCCAGTTAGATACAGACAGGTCATTTCTTCTCCGTGCAGGGGGCCGAGGATACACACTCAGCAGTGCTGGATTCAAACGATAACGACGGCTTCGACTGCACCGTCGCCTCTTCTCATCAGTCGCTCAGAGGGAAAGTTCAGCTGAGTCAGCACAACACTGATACAAATGTCGCCAGGAGGCCTGCACCATACTTCATTCTCCTCTGTGGACATGGCTTCTGTTTCATTGAACATTTCTGCCCCTCACTCAAAAATGGGCTTTTTAAATCTAAATCTAAATTTAAATCTATTTGTGGATCTCTGTGCAGGTATATATATATTCTCCCAGTGCACAAAGACAGAGTCCCGTACACTCACACACAGCTGAGGAGCTCACTGCGTTTCTCTGGCCCGAGTGTTTCTTTGAAATACTGTCGACAAAAAAAAAAGAAAGAAGCAGCAGCAAACTCCCATTTCTGTTCCTCCTGATTAATGATGTGAACACAGAGACTGCGCCTGCAGAAGAACCGTTTGCTCTACTTTGTTTGGCCAAGAGATTAAAACAAAAGTGCATTAGTCTAGAATTTCTCCCCCTCTCCTCTCCCCCTCCTCCCCCCCTCTGGTCTCTCAGCCTACTCCAAATAAGACAGATCTAATATCTGCAGATTAGATTATTCATTTCTCTTTTTTATTAACAGGATATGGGTTCATTTTCACAACGGCAAGGAAGATAGAGGTCTGACATGATGAGAATTCACTTGTATGAGCTAAAGACAAATCTGGCCGTAACGCAATATTAAATGGATGAGGAGCCGGCAGATTCTGGGCCTTCATTTGACATTTGGTATGAATGAGGAGTTGATTAGCTGTCAGTGCACGAGGCTGCGGATCCTGCATCCTGGATTTTTGGATCTGACTAATGAGAGGAAATGTATCAGGTGTCAGAGGCCTCCCTGATTTCCTAATCTCTCCTCTCCTCCTCCTTCTCTCCATACCCAAGCTCCTGCGTATTAAACCGGACAGAGCCCTCTGACAGAGGGACACAGGCGAGTGATGAAGCAGGACGCCTGCCCATTTGATCCGGCCTGATTGCCAGATTAGTGCCACAGAACAGGGGCCTGCAGTCGCAGGTGAGTGATGCTGGCTCAGTATTGACTGCACCTGTCACACAGTCTATTGACTCATGTTGAGGCACTTTTTGACTAACAGGATCCATCAAAGATATGCCCCCCCCCCCGTCTCCTCTGGTTTCGATTTATTAGCAGGGCCACTAAAAGTTAGTGAGTCAGGTCTTTGTGAAGGTTCGTCCCAGTGAAATTGTTGTCGGAGGCTTTAAAATGTGACAGAGGCGACTGAAGGCTACTTCTGATGAGGCCGAGATCTTTTTTAAACTTCACCTGCATCACTGTTGTTGTTGTTTCAGGAGGAGAAAGACGAGATAAAGCCACGATCTTTTCTGGATGAAATGTCCTTTGACCTCAGCATCTTGATTTAACAGGAGGAAGAGACACTCGCCCACCGTTTATACCTGAATCTTTAACACTAGCATAACCATCCCTGCGGATCATGTAATTATTTCGCTAACAAGACTTGATGAACTCTACACGCAGCTTTTAAGATCTTCATCTTGGTTGTGAGCGTGTCTGATGGTGATGGTGGTGTAGGTGGGATATTGCTTCTAACTCAAATCTATAAATTAATCTTTACTTGTGGGCGAGAGAACATTTACAGTCCAATTTTACAGTGGTGCTCTAAACATCTCTTATTGCACTACATAAAGCAGCGTGAATTTAGGTGAGTTAACCCAGATAATAAATGTGATTTGTTTTGCCTCTCTTCGTGTCTACAGTGCACTTCTTTAAGTGGCAGAGTAAGAGGAATGACCTCTCATAAAATCCTAATTAAGGTAATGTGTGAATGAGCAGCGGAGCCTCGTGGATGCTGATGGTGATAAATGTCCGTCCCTCCGAAAGCTTCGCTGGAGGTGAAAGTTGCTCTCGAGTTCAGGTTGCCCACTGTGCCTTATTATTGCAGAGACGACTGAGAAAACATCGAGCTGATGCTTCTGCTGTGGACACAGAAAAAAAGAAGTAATGAGGCAGTTTAGCTTTGCAGCCCGTCGTCACCCTCCGGGGGAGAAAGAGAGGACAGTGCCAAGCATTTGATGAGATTTAGTGGAATATACTGAAGCAGGCGACTTTGACAATTCATTCCCTTAAAGCCAAAAGTAATGTCTCCATTCGTGTCGAAGAAAGACGATGGGTTTTGACGTTTGAGCAGCGATTCCCATGGACCTGCTTGTCTATTCGCATCAAGGGCATGAAAAGCAGTGACTCTCAAAGAGCTCTGTGCTTTAATTTGACAATCCCAAATATGTTTTAAAGCAGAAGAAAAAAGAACAAAAGCCCAGCAGAGTGTGTCAGGTTTATTTTCTCTCCTCACACATCCTGGAAAGTGTTTTTTTTTTTCCACCAAGATGCCGAATCTAGGCTTTGGCAATTTATCACAAAGCCGAGATTTCAGGCTGGCCTATTTAGTACTGTCCAGGTTTCTGAGCATTCCGAACAGATTTATCAACATCCATACTCACTCAGGACTGGTGATTTAGGAATACACTCACTCATCCGTGTCATCCCCGTCATTATCTTTGGAGATTTTACTCTTTTGATGGATCTGAGCGTGCCTGCATTGTCTCGATCCCGCGCAGCTGGATGAGCCCCGGAGTTGCTCTCGTAATGGTATCAAAGCTCTCATTAATTATTTCTGCCGCAGCCTCAATAATTCGAGAAAAGGAATAAGGAAGAAAAAGGGACGTAAATCTAAGGAATCTTTGAGAAAAACAAGAAAAGGGGGAAACAAACATGGGACTTGTGGAAGATTCACGTGGGAATAAGAAATTCAGCAATTACACAAATCACAGAGCGACTCGGGTCAAACTGAAGGTCTGGGTGGATATCTCTTTAATCACTGCAGAGGACTCACTATGCCAACTTCCTCCCTAATTATTATAATTAGAATAATAATTGTGTGACAACGTGATATTGAGAATCAAGTCAAATTAATTTTCTCCACAATATTCCACCTCTCGAAAAGTCAATTCTCCAGTAAATATTTGCACAGATGCCACAGAGTTTGCAACATCTGGTTCCATTTTGATAAAGATTCTGATGATCACAGCGTGCTTCAGATCCTACATCTTTCTATCTCTGTGTCTTTTTCTTTTTTTTTTAATCTGCTTTCCCCCTCTGTGCCAAAGCACCCACCACCGCCCACAAGAGATCATTGTTTATTCCAGGGCAGGAAAAACCGCTGTCAACCTCCGTGTTCTCCCTTCACTCCCTCATCTTTGTGCACTTCTAATTAACTGAGATTTTGCTTGGCTGAGTTTCAAAAGGCCATTGGAGAAAACAGCTCGACTTGGCTGCGAGTCACTCAATCTCTCCTCTGAATTATGGGTTTTTAAAAGTCAAGGCATTATGGGATTGCCAAATGGTGAGGATAAAATACAACAATGTACCAATTATGGGAAAAATGGGAAGTTATGTGATGCCAGTTCACAGCTGTATGGTTCATTAAAGTGCAGCTGAATGTAGCATGTGCTGTAAGGCGGAGGAGAAATAAATGTAAGACGTGCACGGTGCTAAAAATTCATTTACTTCAATGCAATATAAAACAAAAAAGCTAACTTAAAGGAAATGAATGCAGCCAATTCAATAAACCTCTCTTGGCAAAGTGTCCCCAGATAAATGAGAAGAAGTTGAACAGATGCTGCAGTTGCCAAATAAAAAAAAAAAACCTCACTTCAACCAATAACATCATTTATATATAGCAGAATACGCAATTTATATCCAATGCATTCTGTATCGCAATGACCTCGAGCAGTGTCGGACCGGACCAGCACAGCCGAACAGTAATGAGCTGCTTGACTGATCAGGATGGATTATTACGATGAAAAAAGAAAGTTTAAATCTGGGGCTAAAAAAAAAAAGAGAAGGAAACATCCCACATATTAGAAGCTTCTAGAGCTGGAACATTATGTTAAGGTTTCATCTACATTCTTAATTAACAAGATTAAGTCGTTAAGTCGTTAATTTGTCTCATGCGAATGCAATGCACTCAAAAACATCTCCCGACCTGTATCATTTCTCACTTTTCTTTGTCCTCCACTCTTTTGTCCCTGTCAGGACCCTGTAGATGGACTCTGGTGTTCCAGTGATCTGATTGGACGACAGCCGGGCAGGTGACAGGTGAGAACCAGAAGTTTAAACCTGAAGCTTCCTGGATCATCTCCTGCTCAGTAGAAACACGTTTGGGCCCTGAAGGTTTCTCCTGAGTCGTTAAGTTTATTGAAGTCACCTTGGCCTCTCCAGACGTGTGGAGTTGTTTTCTGTGGACGAGAATGAAGAAGATTATGCTGCTGCTGTTTGTTCGGATACTTTTGACTCTGACATTATTTCATGGGAAAAGTTTGAAGGTCTCAAAGATGTTGACAACAGAGGAGCAACCTCCTGAAACGTGACGTCAAACTTCTGTGACGCTTCATAACGTCTTGAAGGTAAAATGGCTTTCCTTTCTATTACTACACCATGACTGTGCAGTTTTTAAATCTGCGGGTGTTTTATTTTTCACTGTATTCATTTTTGCTGCATTGATTTGAAAAAATCTTGGAACTGAATCAACAATGATGCTTATTCTATATATCTGTTCTTTAAATCTTAAACACAACATCCAGCCTGAAGATGGGAGTTCACTGTTCAGGGGACGAAGCTGCAGCGTCTTCGAGCTTCACTTCAGGTGAGAGGCTGTTTTTATCGTAATGTCTGTGGGCTTTGTGTAATTATACAAGTTTGATGTGAGTAGCTGTGAGGCTGCCAGCTAGCCAATGTGCTATATTTGTATTAGCATTAAGAGGGAGACTTGATTGCTTTTATTGTTGTGGCTGATGTCATTTACTGTTGTTGTGTGTGACACATGCTTGAAATCGTTCACGCTGTTTGTGTCCATGTTGTTTTAATATGAATATCCATGATTGCAATGGCTCAAATGGGTTTTTGGTCGCGGCGTTTGAGAGTTTCCCACTTAATACAAACACAGATCTCTGATAAAAGGAAGAATATGATTGATTTGGGTTGTAATCATGATGCAGAACATCACTTTCATATTTTCTTCTCACCGCTGACTGCTTGCTTTATTATTACTGAACTCTGATTGTGTGGTTTATATAGTTGCTCCTGAACATAAATGTCATTTAAAGACATCGATTCATCTATTTTAAACTATTGCTTTCAAGATTAATTTGCTGATCTGACTTCATCTGCTGGATTCAGTTTCTTGTAGATTACAAAAACGAAGCCATCTTGTGAAACTATCTAAATTTTTTGGGACTTTTTAGTTTGGTCCATGTCCCATCTGCTGGCATGGAGGAGGAATGGTTTATGACCTATAGTGCAGCCAGCCCCCAGAGGGCTATCAAGATGATTTTGTCTTGTCATATGTCGTCCGTCTTTTCAGTCTATCGTTCATCTCAGTTCACTAGATGGTGTTTACCCTGAGTGTTTGTACGTGCTGTGTACCGGGGGGGCGACCACACGGCAGCTGGACTAGCACCCACTCGTACATTTCATGGAGTAGTTGGAGTCGTGCTCTGAATATAGCTGGGCTCTGTGCTGAGCTTGGTGTTTGCTTATGTGGAGAGATAAGGTCAGAGCCCAGACATTACATATCAACACTGTGCATACTGCGTGTATTCACTTAAATAAATCAGTTCCATGTCGCCCGGCAAACTCCTTTCCAATTTTTGTGACATTGTAATTAAGGTATTGTCAACTTGCTCCCACGCTCAGGGCATGATTAAGAGACAATCTGTAATTGTTTTCTGGATCTGCTCCTCCTATGATTTCCTAGTTTGTTTCCAGTTTTCTTTTGTCACAGCTCATTAAATATTTACTGAAATTAATGCAGGAGCAAGACGGCGGAGCTGCCGCCTGTAGCTGAGCTGATGGAACCGCACAGTCATTGTCGTGCGTTATGTAAACATTGTTTTACACTGTCAGAGCTGACATGAATCAGGAAGAGGAAGAATTAGGAATGAAAATGTTTATTGTCGAGCCACGGTTTTTCAAACTGTGAGGGAGTGAAGGGAGACACGAGGGCCGGGTGGGACAGTTACTGAAGTTTGGGTTGAGGATTTGTCTTCGGCCTTCCAACACGGTAAGAAGACGGCGCTGCAGCCGTGCCTGTGACACAGCACATGGAGGCAGTTGAGGTATATTAAAGCACGTAGCACCATCAATCAATATTCTGAACACACGTGCGCTGCACATATTTTTTATATTTAGTGTACTTAAAATTCTGGAGGATTTCTATTACTTCCATATCCCCGCTGTAGCATGATAACCAGAATAGAGTGGTGCAGAACAAAGCTACATACAATGTCAAGTGTGCTTTTTCTTCTGATTTCATCGAAAATGTGCAGAACATAGAAGCACTTGAGTTTTTACTGATCAACCTACAAGACCACGAATACACATTTATCTTAATATATTTATTTGTGTAGTATGTGAACAGAGATGAATATCAAGAGTTTCCCGGAGGCAGAGATAAAATCAATCATAGACTGTACCGTCAGATATTTTCAATGACAGGCAGTCTTAGCTTACTTTGGTAACATGAGCACTGAGCAGTGATATTTATATTTGAAGCACCTATAGCATATGTATGTGCGTCGTTAAGTCAGGGCTTGTTTTGTATTTCCATGCATTAGTCACATGTTACTGCCCACACAACCTTACAGACTTTATGTAAGTACGAGGAGATGACATTTGAGGCAGAACAACGTGTCTGGAGTGCAATAGACCATGAAAGAAACATCACACACTGCATAAGGCTCTGGATCAATAGGAAAGATCCCAACTGGGCCTCAAGATGCTAGGGACAGACACCCAGGCCCTGCCTTATTAGAGGATGTACTCAACTGAAGATACTGTATGTCCCTAACATCCGCTAACATCCACTGGTGGTTGGCATCTTAAGTCCTGCATAAGTCTTATCCTGTATTCTAAAAAATATAAGAATTGTGCAAACTGTTTCCTCACATGAAGTGTTGTTCTGCTGTGCTCCAGAAGAACTATGTCTCATGCACAGATCAAGGGGACAATATGGACCTTTCACTCTTCGGCTAATATACGGTGTAACGCATCAAGGCAGTAAATTGTCCTTTTATTGCCTTTCATGGTGACCATGGTTCCCCGTGCACTCCTCTGAGGTGTTGCAGGCAATTGAGCTGCTGACCTTCCCAACAGAACTGCACTCCTCCAGCCTTTAGGCCACTGCTGCCTGAAAATTGTATAACAAGCTGTAATTTCTCCTTCTTAGCTACAATTATGTCCATATCCCTCAGCGAGTGCTTCATCCGGCCACCACAGCACTCTCATCTTGCCTACAGGGCTAAATCAATGAATCAAGTGAAAGGATGACAGGTGGGGAGGGCGAGTGTGTGAGATAGACATTTGGAGGAAAACTTCGAATGAGAAGTTAATCCCCAAAGCTCGGTAATATTTGATATCTGCTGCAGAGTAGAGTCAAGGAAACCCAGTCGCCCTTTTGTCTTAAGACCATCCAGGGACGCATGTCGCAGCTTCAGCTGTAGCCTGACACTAAAGGTCATTCAGCTGATGCCTTTACACACATTTGTCCCTTGCTGTCAGTGCCTCTTGCACTGTGCCATTTATCTTAAGTCTCAGTGAAACGCCTCAACAGAGGTCTGTTCTCTGTGCTGCTGCTATTACTACCCTAGAAAAGAGAGAGTGAAAAACATGGACCTAATGGGTACACACACTTAATGGACATGTCACAGTAAGACATCATTTTTAAGTGTAGTGAAATTGTAGTTGAAGACCTTAACAGCACATACTCATTGTATAAGGTGCTACTTTGAAACATGGGAACATAATGTGTCATGAATGTAAGCTGCACAAGCAAAGGCTGTGAATGTCCTAATTTGTCCTGTTATATAGGATTCTAAAGAATTTCTGTCAGTTTGAATTCCTTTTCAAATCCAAGTCCACAAATTCAACGTATGAGAAGACAAAATGAGAATGGTATACATGTTGTACTGAATGTGTTCTTCCTCCAACCTTGATTTGTCTCATACCCTTAGATACCTGCAGTTAAGGTCATGGACCAGTCGCTCTACAATAAAGCATCACCACGACACGCAAAGTTACAGATCTCGTCTGGTGACGCAGGATTTCATGGATTTTAAACTGTTCAGTTTATCAGTCGATGATGAAATTAAACGAAAGACTGGAAAACATCTCAAGTCATTTTCTACAGACCTTTCATTTCATTGTGGCACCGCTCAACGCGGTTCTCTGATGTCACTCGGTTTCAGACCAGCTGGCTGGATTGGCGGGCATTTAAAGTAGAATTAGACCATATGTAGCTCGCACTCGATTGTGTATTGTGACACTGCACACTGTCGGTCCTTGTCTGCTGTCATTCCAATCTCTACAAATGCATTCAGGACTTTTTTCAGCTCTGTCTACCATTATAATCTTGTATTTGATAGAACTGCACTTTGTGCTCTGGCTCTTTGGAACAACTATGTGAACTATGTTCCATTCAGACGTAGATTGTTGAATATCACCTCTCTAATCACCTACCGGCTATTCAACAGCAAGTGAAGGTTGATGTGAACAATCTGTCATCCGGCATTACTCATCGCAGGCAGGAACAAGAGCATGTCTTTATGATCAAGAAGCACTTCAGCGAAACACTTAACACCCTATTGTAAAAGTTTCAACACGTCTTCGCTGTGAAGGACTAGTTTTGTACTTGACAAACTGTCAAGACTGTTATTTAAATTTGTGAGAAATTGTTGACAAATGTCCTTCGGGTGTCTGCACCTCATGTCAGTGGATGTAAAGAACAAATGTAATTAATTTAACAAAGGGTTCTGTGAATCTTGAATTCAATGCTGCAAACTGCAGGGAATATGAGTGGCAAGGACCATTTTCATTTATGATACTGCTGGTAGATTTCAGAGCACAGGCCCAGATTTCCAAACCCTAGCATATGTGGTACTAGAACAGATTTATTACCCACAGTTATCTCGATATGAAATCCAAAGCTGTAATACTCAATTTGCCCACAAGAGGCTGAAGTGTGACCCAGTGTAGATGCGACTCAAAGTATTCACGACTTCTTCCTGGAGATTTTTAATTTCTTTTTGAAAAAGGAAAATAAAAGTTGTGGGGTCATCAGAGGGATTAGTCAGAGGATGAAGTTCACACTGACCTTGTTCTCCTCCTGCAAACTGTGGCAATTCAGCAACAATCAATGCTTTGGTTTATGCGCACTACTTAAATAAATAGCCATCACACTCTTTGGATAAACTCGCCCTCTGCTACGCTAGAACGCCCTCACTAATTTGTTGATAATGTCAGGGTTCACCGTGTGTGTCTCTCAAAGTTGTTCACAGCCTGGTGGAAGTGATGCCACCTGCTCCGCTGAAGATGTTTTGTAGTGTGAAATTTCCAGGAGGGGTGCTAATTTGCCCTTGCCTCCTGCACATGTGCTTCAGAAAACAGTTCCCCTCTGTAATGAGTTCTAAATTCTGTAAACAACTGGGCTGTCACAGTAATCAGAGGAGGGACCCGAGAGCACGACCCAGGAGGCAGACGTTGAAGAAAAGACTGGGGGAAAATAAAAGGAGAACAAAAAAAATGTATTTATTTTTAAATACTTAAATTCACCATGTATAATTTAAAAATGGTATCACTCAACCGCAACAAATTGCTTTTCTAAATGTGTTGAAAGACCTTAGAAGCTTTCATTCACGACGCTTAATGATGGAGGAACTCAGAAAAGAACTGTTCTGTACGAAGATCAGTCAACCAGCTCCTCTCTGCTAGCAGCTAGTCAAAGCGGATGTGCGGGAATAATTAGATTATCAGATATTTCTTTTGTTTATACCTCAGTTCATCTTAATCAGGATTCCTTTGATTAAAGGGAACCTATCTGCTAAGCCCCAACTTTTTCTAAAAATAAAAAAAAATAGACAGCAGATGTCAAATTTGCGTATGCATCTGTCACGGTGGACTTGAAGGATGTCACTATAGAGCTGGACAAATATAAAGTCACTTGAACTTACACTCTGGAGGGCATACCCTTTTTTTTTGGAATTAATTATTAATGATGGTGTCAGCATCTGGCCGGCTCAGACTGAGTTTCATAGGAAGCAAGTTTCATATTCCTCCCTGATTCCAGCTCAAAGTAATTTTAGTTATAGCAATAACTGGCACAAACTCCCGGGCATGCACTTTCTTTGCATTTTCAAGCAGACGGATAAAGTTCAAAGGGTCAGGCTGAGACAAAATCATTTTAGAAACAGCCCAGACGCAGAGGGGAAGGAGAGAGCTTCCTGAAATAGGCACCCGACCACAGGCTCATACCTCTATTCTACTACAGCTGGACTGAATGAAAGGATAAATGAACAGACTGAAACTCAACCGTGACACGGACAGGAACATTCAAACACAGGAGACAAATGTATGCAGACAGAGATTTAAAATTAACCGTATCCCTAATTAACTATCATCAAAAGTCTGTTTCAACTTGCACACAACTCCTACAGCACAATGATCTGCTGCTTCACCAGTGTCTTCCTGAGACTTTGATTTTTATGTTATGGTCGTCTCACTAAAATACTGCAGTACTACAAAGTGGTGTCAAAATAAGTCCTTCAGTTTTCATATTTGTCTGTTTATGGGAGGGCTGTAGAAAGTGTGACTGATGTTTTATTGAGTCATTTTGACTTTTAGATTTGTCTGTCTGCATCTGATGTTTCCTGTTGCATTTCTTTTTGCCCTCACAACCCCCCCCCCCCCCCACCTCCCACCCGCCATCGCTTCAAATCTGGCTGCCAGTCAGCCCTTCTGATTTTCAAAGGCTCCGGAGCATGAAACAGAGACTCTGAACATGGGCCAGATTTTAATTCTCTGATCTTCTCTTCTCACTTCCCTATATCTCAGTAAGCCTCACTGTTTTTCTCTTTCTGTTTTTCCCCGATCGTTAGTGCGGCGGACAGAGAAGCAACAGGCATCTATGAAAACATGGCACCGCTGAGAAGACAAAAACTTCTTCAAAAGTTTTCTCAATGACATCACATGGTTAGAACAGTATTGTGGTTTTGGTTGAAATGAGTTCTTCACACGGTCAGAAGGCCTGTGTCGACATCTGTATTAAATTAAACACTTGGTTATGATAAAGAAAGGGTCATCGGTTTGATTTAAAGAAAAGCATGGACAAGAAACGTGTTTTCCCATTTCTGCAAACTTAACACAGGATTCTTACAAGTTAGCCTGAACATAACCCATATATATTCACTTGTGTTTAATATTGTTATCATGACAGGTACAGGGTGCCTGCTGCCATAGGCGTGTATTTCAGTATCGGTGCTCCAATGGTTTGGTTCACAGGGTAGTTGTACTTGTATGGTTGAAGAAGGCATCACAAAATGATTTAATTATGACTATTTGTCATTTATGGAAAGTTTGATGTCGGTCTGTTGTTCCATCAGTCTTCTCTCACCACTCCTGAAAAGAAAGCAGTGATGTTTGTTCCCCAAAATGTTGCGCTGATTGAATTTTTAGAAAAATCAAGTTCATCGCTGTGTTTGTTATGTAAACTATTTTCTTATTCTTTTACTCCTCTGAACAAACACCAAGGCGATGATTGAGTTTTTGTCCCGAGTTAGACATGGCCGACAGGATTTGAAGAATGTTTTGTTGTTATTCAAGATAAAAACCAATATGCATAGTTTATTTGATTAAAAAAAAGTCCTGGTGAGCTTTGTGTAACATCTCACTCTGCTGGAATGTATTGCCTACTCGTTGGCTTATCGTCAGCTGTTACTCTGGGGAGCACGAAAACAGGGAGCTGAAAAACAGACATCAAACAGCCGAAGAGGCGTTGCGGCCTATCTCCCTGTGTGTTCTGCTACGAGCAAGGCCTGCGCTATCATGGCAAGGTCTATCTTTCAGTGCAGAGAGTGAACTAACCTGCAGAGGGAAGATAAAGAAAAATGGGTTCAGTTTCCTCCATCTGAGAAAGTGTGCTTGTTAGAGCGGAGAATCCATTCCCGTTTCCCCGGGACCTTTGATCTGGGATTACACAGGAAGCTCTAAGATGAGAGCTCTGCATTTGGCCTGGGAGAGCTCATGATAGAGCAGCCTGAGGTGTCTGCGGCCTCTGAAGTGAAAACTGCTGCTGAGTCCACTGTGAAGCGAGCGTGCACGCTCATAAGTGGATTATTATATGATTGCCAATTTTCATCAGAGAATAAGAATAGAAGGGAGGGAGGGAAGGCCTCGTAGAAATTGCCCATAGCAACAACCAATCCGAGAACAGACTCTTATCAATTTACCTGAAATTCATGGGTGGAAACATTGTTCGCTTCTTTTAGACCACAATGTTTTCCTTTTGTTTTTCATATTAAATAACTCTCTACATGTCGTTGTTCTCCGCAGCAGCGACGCAAAGCATTTAAACTGGCTCTATTTTAAACTTGGTAAAGGTTAAATGTGGTGCCATCCTGTACGATGCTTGATTTTGATGTAGAAAAATAGTTGCAAGGTGTTTCTACTATGCTGGCTCTGTTTTGACTTTGCTGGTATTTTCATCAGGCTCAGATGCTTCTGAACGAGCTCTGGCAGGCTGATCTCTAATAAACATGTCATCCATATAAAAACCAGGTGATGGTTGCTATTATAAGGGCAGGATTGTAAAAGAGAATATATATGGATTGGCTTGTATGCAAAGTGGAAGTGTAGTTGACGATAGAAATGAGTGTATGCCTGTTGTGCCGCAGCCCATGTGTGTATTAGTATTTTGTCAGTGTACTCTTAAAACAACAGACACAAACACCTGTTCCAATCACTTTCAGCTCCCTAGAGAAATGAGTACACAACACGTTTCGTAATAAGCCAATGTTTAAATTCCACATTTTCTGAACCATAACCACATATTTTCAGTGCCTTATATAACCACTTTATTCTTCACCTGCTGCAGAGAAAACATTGTAAGGACAGCAAAGGAAATATACAGTGTCAGTGAACATTTGAATCGCTCTGCAGATTCACCTATTTCATCATTTCTGATTAAAAACGGTATAAATGTTTCCGTCAAATGCATTTAGATTGCGAGATGAGAGATTAATTCAACACAGTCCCGTCCAACTGTTTGATTTCCGTTCCATTTTCGTTTCCAAACAATTTTCAAAGCTCCAGTTG